AAGGAGGCAGCCGCGAGAGAGGGCGGCGCGGGGGTGCCGGCGGAGTGAGCGCAGGACTGCACTCCTTTCTCCGGATGAGTGCAGGTGTGTTGGAGAGGCGCGCGGGTCGCCCATTGGAGTCGACGGCGACGGCGTCCAGCTCGTCGAAGGGGGCGTCACGAACACATCCCGCAGCACCAAGGGCTTGGCTCGCCCTCCCCCTCCGCCGTTGCCTCCTCCATTAACGGCTCCCCTCCTCCTCCTCTCCTCCTCCTCCGCCGTTGCCCTCCTCCTCCTAGGGGCACCACCCCTCCGCCAGCTCCTGTTCCTGCTCCGCCATTACCAACAGCAAAGTTTCCTGGAACGAGAAAGCAGGTGGGCATTAGTAAAAACAAACGAACTCTTAATTCTGATGTATAGCATAGAGTTCCCAGGTGCCCTCGCCTTTGTGTGGGTCCGTTTTTCCCTTCCTCGTCTGGTCTGACGGAAGACAAATGCTGTGTCTCATTAGCCCTCGCGGTTTTGGATTCATATTTGAAAAACCGTTAAATATACGAGGATACTACAAATTGATGAATAACTGCGCACTGATACATCGGCGCATTAAAAAAAAAAAAAACACACGCAATCTAACTTCGTAAATAAAGACGTTTACCCAAATAACAATAAAACAAAAAAACATTTCTAAAATCAAAACACTGACACATGCGCGTATTGAAAAGAAAAACACCCACCCACGCAATCTAATTCGCAAATAAAGACGCTTACCTAAATAACAAAAAATCTAAGATCAAAACACACTGATACATCAGCATATAAAAAAACACGCAATCTAACTCCGCAAATAAACACGTTTACCTAAATAACAAAAAAACAAAAAAATCTAAAGCAAAACACACTGATACATCCGCGTATTCACACACACACGCACACACACACACACACACACACACACACACACACACCACACACACACACACACACACACACACACACACATCACACACACACACACACACACACACCACACACACACACACACTTCACACACACACACACAACACACACACACACACACACACACACTCATTTCTCTCTCTCTCTCTCTCTCTCTCTCTCTCTCTCTCATCTTCTCTCTCTCTCTCTCTCTCTCACTCTCTCTCTCTCACTCTCTCTCTCTCTCTCTTCTCCTCTCTTCTCTCTCTCTCTCTCTCTCTCCTCTCTCTCTCACTCACTCACTCAACTCACTCACTCACTCACTCCGTCACTCACTCACTCACTCACTTCACCACTCTTCAAGACTCACTGCACTTCTCGCGCATAAAGACGTTTATCAAATAACAAATAACAAAAAAAAGACATTTCTAAAATCAAAACCCGCGCGCCTGTGACCGAATTCCCGCCAACCCCGCCAACCGTCACAATCGACTGCCGCGTTAATTTACGACGTCCGCCGATGCAGCAAACGAGACAGTGTGGGGGCGGGAGTGTGATGGGGGTAAGGTGGGGGTGGTGGGGATCATGGTGGAGATGTTTGGTACGAATGTTGGCGATGATGGGGGGGGGGGGGAGGTAAGGTGGGAATAATGGTAGGTTTAGGTTAGGAGAGATGAGGGGTGGTGGGGGTGATGGAGGTGGTGGCGAGGCCGATTGAGAGGAAGGTGGGGGTCGAGTGGAATATAGAACTGCCTGCCATGGTAGAGGGTGTTGGGGATGGGAGGATGGCAGGGGGGGGGGGGTGGGGGATATGGTGATGACTGATTGGGATATGGTGGTAATGGGGTATGGTGAGGGTGACGGGGGCATGGTGGGGCGAAGAGGCATTCCCTTTGTTCTTCGGGAATTCGAGATCCTTGTGGAATGACCTAATCGCGTGCAACCGCTGAATCATGAAAAATTCAGACTAATTACACGCTCGTCACAGCCGCCAATACGGCGGGGACAAATAGCCAGCCGAGACCTTGATGATTGGGGTAATAAATTAATATACCTTTTAAAAATCTGTCGTCACACGCAACGCACAAACAAACACACACGCACGCAGCACACACACACACAACACACACACACACACACACACACACACACACACACACACACACACACACACACACACACACACACACACACACACACACACACACACACACACACACACACACACACACACAACACACACACACACACACACGATGCACCCACATCCCCACGGCGGAATGGAGTCAGCAGAACGCACTGGTACAAAGGTTTGGTGTATCTGCCACCAGTTGACGCCTGGTTGTGTGTGAGATATTAAAGCTTTTATTGACTCGAGGCCTAAAAAGTTACCCAATATACAGCCCGCGCAGTGGCCGTGGTGCAGAGCGCTGCGAGCGACCGTGCTGTGGGGGTGTGATGCCTGCATTGTTACGACTGACTAATCGGGAAAGACGGCTAGCTGACTGTATTCTGCGAGTATAATGTCGTGTTTGGGCTCGGGTGACACTGCAGCGGGCAAAAAAGCAGTGGCTGCGACAATAAAACTGACAGGTGCTATATGCCGGGCGCGAATTACGACTGCTAGCGCCGAGCGGGTAGAATTACTGGCAGGATAACAGTCGAAGCCAAGGCCGTACGAGTGGCACACGAGGTTTCGAACGCTGAGACAAGGAGACCATCGCTTCTTTAAAAAAAATAATAATAACGACGCGCAAATATCCATCCCGTTTAGCTCAATTAGCTCGGAATTTCGCTGGCAATTTACGTCTTTCAGCCATCGTTACCTAACTCTGTCGACAAACACGGCCAACGACGCTTGGGAACAGACCAGAACAGCTATCAAACAAAATCACATGCAGTTAAAAGACTTTATCTCACATTTCATCGATCTCATATCTGCTATGCATGTGCACGCAGCCTAGAAGAGGCCACGCCTTGACCTAGAAGGGGATGAGAGAGAGAGAGAGAGAGAGAGAGAGAGAGAGAGAGAGAGAGAGAGAGAGAGGAGAGAGAGAGAGAGAGAGAGAGAGAGAGAGAGAGAGAGAGAGGAGAGAGAGAGAGAGAGAGAGAGAGAGAGAGAGAGAGAGAGAGAGAGAGAGAGAGAGAGAGAGAGAGAGAGAGAGAGAGAGAGAGAGAGAGAGAGAGAGAAGAGAGAGAGAGAGAGAAAGAGAGAGAGAGAGAGAGAGAGAGAGAGAGAGAGAGAGAGAAGAGAGAGAGAGAGAGAGAGGAAAGAGAGAGAGAGAAGAGAGAGAAGAGAGAGAGAGCAGGCATATGATAATTAAAAATATATATAGAAAAAAGAGAGAGAAGGACGAACGAGGCGAGGAGGGGGAGGAGGAGGACGGAGGAGGAGGGGGAGGAGAGGAGGACGAGGACGTGGACGAGGAGGGAGGAGGAGGAGGGGGACGAGGACGGGAGGGGGAGGAGGACGAGGACGAGGGGAGGAGGGGGATGAGACGGAGGACGAGGAGGGGGAGGAGGACGAGGACGAGGAGGGGGAGGGGGGAGGACGAGGGCGTGGACGAGGAGGGGGGAGGAGGGAGAGACGGAGGAGGGGAGGAGGACGAGGAGAGGAAGGGAGGAGGCGAGGACGAGGAGGGGGAGGAAGACGAGGACAGGAGGGGAGGAGGGGGAGGAGGAGGTGAGAGGGGGAGGAGGACGAGGAGGGGAGGGAGGGGGAGGACGAGGAAGGACGAGGAAGGGCAGAGGGGGAGGAAGGAGGACGAGGACGAGGAGGAGGGAGGGGAGGGGGAGAGGACGAGGACGGAGGAGGAGGAGCAGGAGGAGGGAAGGAGAAGGAGAAGAAGAAAGGAGAAGCAGAAGGAGAAGGACAAGAGAAGAAGAAAGGAGAAGACAAGAAAAGAAGGAGAAGAAAGAAGAAGAAGGAGAAGAGACAAGAAGAAGGAGAGACAGAAAGAAGGAGAAGGACAAGAAGAGAGAAGGAGGACAAGAAGAACAAGAACAAGAACAAGACAAGAAAAAGAAGAGGAAGGGAGAACATCAACAACAACAAGAAAAAAAAAAAAAAGCAAAGCAAAGAGAAGCCACGACCTACCTGCCGACGCCGTGGACGCGGGGTCGTTCTGGACCGCAACGGGAGGCGGGAGGTGGAGAGGGAAGGTCTTCCAGTGGTAAAGCACATTCTCCGCACCTGCAACCAGGGAAACAACATTAATGTGTAGGCGCTTTCGTGCGCGCATGTTGGCTTTTTTCTTTGGCTTTTTTTTCGGTTAAGAGCCATAAACTGAAATGAGAAACGGGGAATTTTAGTTTATTTGTCTGACGGAATTACGGGAATTAAAGATGCGGGGAAATGGGGATTAGGAACATCACGTCATCTATACAGGTATTTTGATGTTAAAAGAAACGTCGAAAAAAGAGAAAAAAAAATATAGTTATATTATATATATATAATATATATATATATATATATATATATATATATATATATATATATATATACCTATCAAACTAAAACAAAAAGCTATCCAACAAACAAATCCACAAAAAAGGAAAAAAGCAAATACAGAAATCAAATACTCCCTCCCCTCCCCCAACATAACACCCCCTCCCCAACAACACACCACCCCCTCCCCCTCAAAAAAACACATAACGCAATAGAGAGACACCGAAACGCACGTGTTATTACATTAAGATAATGCCATAATCGGATTAGGGGAACGGATACCACCGGCTGATTATATTATTCGCATATATAAGTCGGCGCACTTCCTCTAATCCGAACGAGGCAGAGGGCCCTTAAGCGAGCATAATCGCCCCTCTACAGCCATCTCCATCAAAGAGGAAAGATCTTGTGCATTTGCATTTACATACACGTTGCTATATGCTGATGGAAGAGATATCGGTTAGGGGAAAGGGAAGGAGGGGGGAGGGGGAGGAGAGAAAAGGGGATGAGGGGAGGAGAGTATGAACTGGGGGGGGGAGAGGAGGAGGAGAGGAAGGAAAGAAAGTAGAGGGGTAAGGAAAATAAGGAAGGGAGAAGAGAGAGAGAGAGAGAGAAATGGGAGAGAAGAAGGAGGAGGAAGAGAAGGGGAAGAAGAAGTAAGAACAGGAGAAAGATAAGAAGGAGGGAGAGAGAGGGACGAGGGGAGGGAGAAGAGAGAGATGAGAGAGATGAGAGAGAGAGAGAGAGAGAGAGAGAGAGAGAGAGAGAGAGAGAGAGAGAGAGAGTAGAGAGAGAGAGAGAGAG